AAACAAGCTCCCCACAGACCCGGACACACCAACTCAAAGCAGCATCAGACCCTGCCTGAACAGATGCAAAACATGCAGACATATTTCCACTGCTACAATAATCAATACCTGCCCCAATACACCTTTCAAGATCCCTAGGTCCTACACATGCCTATCACAACATGTGGTTTACCTCATCCAGTGCATCAAATGCCCCAACAACTATGTGGGTGAAACCAGACAGACAATCACTACACTTTCAAATGAACTCACACAGAAAAATCATAAAAGACAAAAACGTATCACCTGTGGACAAACACTTTTCATAAAACGATCACTCCATATCTGACCTCTCGGTATTTGTCCTCAAGGTGAACTTGCACAATATCTTCAAAAGGTGAGCCTGGAAATTTAATTTCGTAACTCTTCTTGGCTCTTCTAAAACCATGAACTCAATAGACACACTAGTTTTTTGACTCATTACAACAACTTTCAACACACTCAACTGCCTGCTAAACCTTAATTAGCTACTATATTTTAAGGGGTTTCCCACAACATGTTAACTCCTTATGCTTAATTTGTCCCAACTTGTATTTAGCTCAGAAACACTTATTTCCTTCCCCAGAATGGAAGAACAGCCCTGTGAAGCTCAAAACCTTGTAACTTCCACTAAAGACATTTTTCTAATACAAGATACATCCTTCAGGGACACACAGATCTCAGGTTTGTTCAGTCCATTACAGGAAAATAACCAGTCAAATTTTGGATCTGGATACCCTTAATCTAGATGTCAGGAGATGTTCTAATCCGCGATTTTGGAGCAGCCTCATTTCTACTTTAAACTGACCAAAAAGGTAACTTGAAACTCACAAATTTATTGGTTGTTGGTCTATGCAAGAAAACATCTCGAGCAGCACCATCAGTCATCCTTCCTACGTCTTCCAGAAAACGATAATCTGAATATACAAGGAACAGGAAGAAAAGTTTAATGCTGGTTTAAAAAAGAAGATGGGGTGAAGTTTACATAGAGAAATTCTTACCACTTAGGAGATTCAACTCACTAAACTCATTTATGGAGACAAATGCTGCCTTTTCTCTGATTCCATTACAACTCAGTGCAGTTTTGTGCTTCTTCACACAGGCCAAACTGAAAGTAAAGAGAAAAATAAGCATCCTGTCTCTAGCATTCAAGAAAACAAACAAGAGACAATTCAAATTGTATATACCTGCATGAGTATTTCATGCAACGTGGACACCTGTACTTTGCTTCCTCTCCACTACAGGTTTCACATCTGAAAGGAAAAAAAAGCAGGAAAAGAACAGATGCATTTGTACTTAAAAGGCAGGTTTTCTTTACATTTAACCAAGCATGGGTCATAATTCTGAGAAATGATCACTGAAGCTTGAAGGCAGGGAAAGGAAATATGGATGCCTCAGCAAAGCAAGTAGTTTCCAAACATTTTCATAGGGTGAGCCACAGATCAATACAGGGGGAGATTTTCCTAGAGAGGAAGGGAAGCGAGGAATCAACGCCCGGCTCTTAGGTGCTTAACTCCCATTCAAATGGATGGGCGCTAAATGTCTAAATACCTTCAAGGATCTGGGCCCAAACTGCCACTCAGGGTCAAAGGGGGACACTCATTGGCTGTCGTCCATTAGCCCGCCTCCGAGGAAGAGGCCAACCAGTGACGGACGAGAGGGCAACGCTCGCTCCGCCCGCGAGAGCTGAGGGCCGGGGCAACGGTGACACCCTCCCGCCGTGTCCCCTCGAGAGGAGAAGACACAGGGCAGCCTCCCCCCGGCCCGAGGGTGAGACCAGCGGCGGCGGCGCCGCGGCTGCCCCCAGGCCTCGGAAAGGGAGGAACGGGACACCCCGCCCGACGGGCGACCGTGGGTCTGCGGAGCCGAGGCCTCGGGCTGCTCCTACCTGTGCAGCGCCATCTTCCGCTTGCCGCAGTCCAGCCCCGGGCTCCCCGTCTCCGTGCCGGGCCCCTCAGGGCTTCCCGCCGGCCCGCTCGCCACCCCGGCTCCCTCTTCCTCCATCCGTGTCCCAGGTGCACACGCTCCGCCAGGGCCCACGTGGGCCGCGTTCCTTCTGAGTGGCGGCGCTTTGCGGCTGCGCTGCGGGGTGGCGGCGGGTGACCGCCCTCTGGCGGCTGCTTGGGAGAGCGCCGCTGTTTCCATGGCGACCTGGAAACCCCCCCTCAGCCCCCACAGCCTGCTCCAGTGGAGGGGGGCGGCTTTGCCCCCTCGTGCCCAAGCCGCTCCCATTGGTGGGCTGGGGCGGGGCCGCGGCCCGTGTCACTGACACATTCCCACGCAGAGCTGTTTAACCGTTCATAGCCCCGCCCATCCCTGGCTGGGCCCGAGGCTGCACTTGGAGGTTAACAATTCACCTCAATTCACCCAGGGAGGTGGGGCAGGTTGTGCCATTAAGTTTCATGCAGTCCTAAGCCTGGAGCCCAGGGCACTTGCATGGGTCATGGCAGGGTAGAATATGGCTCTGAGTGATCACCTCCCTGAGAGGATACAGAGGTTAATTTCACTGTTGCAGGCGTGGTTTCCTCTGATTGGGAAATATCCCTGGAATACAATGGGCACGCTGGGGATTAAATTGCTTTAGCTTTTTAATTTTTCCTATAACCAGTGAGTTTTTGTTTGTTTGCTTTAAAAATCTGGTCACTGCGTGTGGGCTGTGCTGTTGCACTAATCTAAGCCCTGCTGGCTATTTGGAAAATTCTTAGACCTAATTAAGAGCTGTTACTTTTCTGGCTGGAGTTTGATATTTAGGGATAATGGTCCAAATTCTACACATAGTAAATCCAGAGTAACCCCATTGATTTTAGTGCAGCTAAATGGTTTGACTGATTGCAGCATCAAGCTCAATGACTCTAGGAGAGCATATGTTACACTCTGTCTGTTGGGCCATAGATTCCCGTCTCACTAGTGAGGCCTAAATGGCAAAGGTGGCCACCTAGGCCTTAGAATGTTAATGATCATATGATAAACAGCCTACTTAGTTCACTTGGTCTGGGATTAAATTCCTAAATATCGACTAGTGTATCCCTCCATTTAGGTGGGCAAAGGGGTGGAAACCCACCCTGCTTTATGGCATTCTCCCCCTAAACCTAGAAAACACCCTTTGTATTGATAGGGGTTTACAGGCTAGCAGGCAGCATGCCAGAATGGATTAATGTAGTTCCTATCAGAGCAGGCTTTCTTCAAGTTCCCTGCCACTTACACCAGCATTAATGCATGGGCTATTTGTGCAACTGCAATGGGAGCAGACTCTCCTCCCATGATAGAGTAGGTTGATGGTGGTTGTGTAAAGATTTCCAAGTCTGGGTGGAGATCTGCAAGGGTTGGGTTTCCATTTGCAACAAATCCCTTGCCTAATAGTTATGCTGATTTCTTTCTCATGTTGATGAGGTGGCATGCACCCCTCACCCAGATACCCACTGTTATTTTTTCCCCCTCTCCGATGTGTTTCTCTTCATGAGGTGTCATTTGGTTATAGGTATTATTTAAACCTATTAAATAGGTATTATTTTGGGTCTGATTATTTGTTTCCTACCTTTGCAGAGGTGTAGCTAAGAACAGAATTTGAGGACAATCGGGTTGTGTATGTGTAACTTAAAGCAGCTGTTGGCCTACAAAATATGTGTGACACACACCAGAAACTAGCCAGCTTGAAAATTCAGGCTGCAGTAGAGCGGACTGTGCAAAACCAGACTTGTTTGGGTTTGCACAGGTGACAGAAACCCTCTTATTTTTTGTAAATGAACAAATGTGATACAAAAATCAGCTAGAGCTCCACAATGCCATTTTCACAGCTACTTTTCAGAGTAGTACTGCACTTTAAATGTTTACCTTTTCTCATATTCTATTTGTTATATTCGGTTACAGATGTTAGATACAGAAAATATCTATTTGGTCGGTCAGTCAGTCACTGCTGACTAGTCAAGAGAGGCAATACTTTACGTAAGCTGGTAAGTTGCTTAGCAAAGCTTAAAACAAAGTAGTGGTTCTGTCTCACTTTTTATATTGTTAGAAATATATTAAAGACATTTTTGGCACAAGACACGCTCTTGCTCAATGAAAACTTAAAACTATTACACATTCCTTTGTTTTAGTGATGTTTGGGGAGGAGGGGTTCACAAGAGCATGTAGTTGCTTGGCTGGACTGATCCTGTGTTACCTAGAGCAATTTAAAGTATTATAATCAAAAGTAGTAGTGATTTAACCTTCTTATCTGGATTGAATTGTGTAGGATGGGCCACTAAAGTGGCTCATTAGGGTTTCCCACTCTCTCCCCCCTCCAATTTTATTGATGTAGAATAACCATTTTAGATCATCAGCTATAAGATTCAGGAATGCATATATATGCTAATATAAAGAATATACACATTTACTTTTAAGTAACTTCTTACTATTTAAAGATGATTGTTTTTAACACAACACTGTCCTTATGAGATACAAGCATTAAAAATGCATTAAACATTAAAAAATTAAGTGAAAATGAGAATAAGGTTGATAAAAGGATAAAAAAGTTAGCATTCTTACAAAAACAAATGGATGTAACATGATCTCAATGGAAAGTCAAACTAAGAACACATGAAATTGTTAACTATCATAAGTAACATTGCCTTTAAATGCTGAAATGACAATGAAGAATCTTCTCAGAACCAACTCTTCTTTTCTCTTTTTCCCCTTAATTTATCATTCTATAGCTTGAGTTGCTTCTTTAGATTACTCAAAGAATATGCACACTTTAAAGAAATCCATAATTTGAGGAAAAAATGCTACTTCAGCCCCAGCTTTAGAATTGGAGATTCTACACATTTGTCTTGTATAAGGAAATGTTCTGTCATTTGTGCAATATCCTGTAACACCACAAATATGCATGTGTTTCCCTTCCTAATACAAATATTTACCAAATAAGAGACTCTGTACAGCCTTTTCATGGTTGCTGAAAATGAACAATACAAGGAAAGGGAATCAAAATTATAAAAGATAAACCGTTATTTTTGAAGCACATTTTATTATAGATGAGTAAGCGTGACTTACTGTGGATAAAGATGATTTAAATGAATTGCTGTTTGAACACTCTCCCTCCCCCCAAATATGAGGTATAATTTTGCTCTGTATTACTGTACAAACTCTGCTTTGACAATAGATATAGGCAAGCAGTTTGCAAACCTTTTAAAGTAAATGTTTTGTCTTAATGATAAAAGTGTATTTTGTTCAACAGCTGAGGGTCAAATACTTTTAGACTCAAAATAAAAGTGTGAAACAGTGTCTAGTAATATTGCAAACAAATGGAATTTCTAAGTTACTGAAATAATTATGATTATAACTTAGCCATTCAAAACATATGCTGTATTAAATTTTTCAACAAGTTACAAAACATATACACAGTACATCATCTTAGATGCTATTGGGTGTTTAAAATAGTTAACTGCAGTCCAGAAACTAAACCCCAAAACTACTGTATGTAGCTCTTCTATAACAATCTTTACAATGGCTAACAATTAGCTGGCCTGCCTATAAGCACCATATACAATGTGCTGTCTGGTATATCACTTCCACAAGAATAAACAAAAACATTTTAATTAAGAATTTCACATAAATAATGTTTTTACTTGTAATGAAGTATGTGTCCAAACAATTTAAGATAAGTACTTTTACAACAGAAACATATCTTGATGTAACCAGCACATACAGTCTGCAAGAGAAAAAGGGAATCAAATAATCTCTACTAAAGCCACAAGCACCTTGTGTTATAAAGAGCACCAGAAATACAAACAGGAAACACGTAAGAGGTAGTGTACCATCTGTTAAGATGTATGTGTCCAAAAGGACTATAATACAACTTAGTGTTTAAGAAAAGACAACTTATTGTACTGTGGCATAATTCACTCTCATACACAAGCTATTGCACATTTGGGAGCATTAGCCAGTATTGCTCCTTACTACTGTATGTCTCCAGCTTTCCTTAGGATATCTTGTACAGTGCTGTTAAATAGGTTATTCAGAATACTAGAGGTCCTGAAGAATTTTATGTTTAGATATATAGTTCTCAGTTCCAGGGAAATATACAAGAAAGCACCAACCAATATTTAAAAAAATTAAATACTTTAGCAATGTCGTCATAGTCTCTTTTTTAAAATGCCATTTCTCCTTCTTAGGAGGAAGTCTTTTTCTTCCTGAGATTCTTTAAGATATAACCAACAATTTGCTTTAAAATTCTTCCACAGTTTCATAATGATTTAATCTTTAATTCATTTTGGTTTTTAAAAGATGCTTTTTCTGTGCAAAAGTTCCATGGTGTTGTGAGAAACCAGAGTCAGGTCAGGAAGCTTAGAGAAAGCACACTGAACCACTTTCTATGTGTTGCTGTTGTCCTGGTTTGAGATGAGGAAACGTATGCACTTGAACAACCGGAAGGTCAGTAGTATCCTGAGTGTGAAAAAGGAACTCTGTCTTATGCCAGCTGCCATCTTGTATCTGCAGTTCATGGAATTAGAGAGAGTATTAAATACATATCAAACTATCAATTTCAAAACACAGAGAGAATCTAGAACTCAAGGAACCAGAGAAGCAAATGAGAGATCTATTCTCTTGTCAATGCATGTAACATTTATGTGATTTTTTTTTTTTCAAGGACCATCTCCCAATCCATTGAAGAAAGAACATCTGTCAAAATTCTAACTTGCTATAAAGCTTGATGAGGGCTTGAACTATGAGACTGATACATTTCTATATTGCCTAGGCTTCTGCTTGGAATTAATATGCATTCTTAGGAGTTATGGGGAAATCAGCTCCATTTTTTGTCATGAACTTGTTTGGTTATTTTAATTTTTAGAAAATCTCAATAAAAACTGTTACCTTATAAAAATATAAAATAACAGTATAACGCTGTTTGGGGATGTGGGAGTCTTGATGTTTGCAGTCACTCCTTTCTTGCCCAACCAGTCAAAGCAGCAGGTACAGTGGAGACCGTTGAAAAGTGAAATCCCTGCAGGAAGGGATAAGTGAGATTCTGCAGGAAATCTGTACAGTACATAGTTTCCTGAAGAGAGAGAGAGATATCTCATAGAATCTCACAGAAAAACTACACTTTTCAATAGCCATCACTGCATGTCTTACCTTCTTCCAGAACAAAAACCCAAATCTGATGTACTTCTATAAATATAGGGCCTGATTCTTCACTGCTTTTCACTTTTTGCAGTAATTTATACCAGTGCAAAGAGCTACAGGTCTAAGTGTGTTGAAAATTCTGATCTGGTAACATTTTATACCCACTTAATACAGTTTCCAGTTTGAAAAGCACCTGTCATCATGCCATCTGTCTGAACACAGATCTCCCAGTGAATTTGAAAGAGTTCCACCCCTGGAATGATGACAGGACAAGGCTAAGTCCTTTGTTCTCTTTAGCACAGTATAGAATTGGATATTTTAGGTTCTCTGTAATAAAAATATATTGCTACAGGAGTCAGTGGTAAAGGCAACATCTTGCCTGTTAATGGAGTTGATCTAATAATTATTGGAATTGTATTAGATTTTTCAGATTTTGCCAAGTTCAAAAAAATTTATTTTAGCCAATGAAAGTTTGTCCATCATCAGTTGATTACATAAGTAGACGATTGCCCTGTAACTAGTGAAGTTAATGACATTCAGTCATCAAAAGATTAACTTCTAGTCTGTAATGAACTTGCCTTCTTCCAGCAGTTTGGTTTTATTCAGATAGCATCATCAGAATATATAGCTCAGCCTAAGCTTTCACCCCATGCCTGGCTGTTCCAGGATTTCCTGAAGAACCTCCATGTACCTACCCTAAGTTGCCTCCAAAGAGAGGGTCCTGTCACCTCTCAGGTTCTGGTAGCATTAACAAGCAGGGTCCACTGAGTCTGATGCTAAGAGCAAAGACAGATTCCCTGCATAACTGCAATTGCTGTTAGCATTTGGATATATCTTGAATTTAATATAAAATGGTCAACATATGGAGAGACTTGCTAAACAATATGAGAAGTGTGCTTCATGTTATGAAAATCTAAATGACTCTTGTAATGATAGAAGGAAAAATAAATGCCCAAAGTTTATATTAGTTATTAATTTAATAACGCCAAAATGTATTTACCATGCATTCGTCTGTAAGCACCTTTGGTTCAAGTAGTGTATTTGCTTCAAACTTTTGACCATTCCAGCCTTTGAAGCTAACAGATGTTTTCTGAGCATCTGCCTCATTTGTTCCCCACACTGGTGTGTTCAGACAGTGAACGGTGATGGTATGGGTTGCTTCTGAGCTCAGTAAATGAAGAAAGTTCATCTGCACTTTTCCAACTCCAAACTCCAACTAGTTTACAAAAATGTGTTGTTAGACATAACAGTTGTATCATGCTCAATAGCCAACAATCAGAAAGATTTTGGCAATATAAATACAGCACTTATAGGGGATATTAACTGTACCAGTTAATTTGGTTGACAAACCAAAATGCATATGTCTCCTGCTTTCTTCAGAAGACTTGTCAGGTGTGTATATATATACACAAGAGTGGAATCCCATAATCATCATAATGAATGAATACAATTGTATACAAGTATATACACTTGTATAACTTACATTTTCAAAGCTTGTTTTAAAATTAATTAATTCTCAGTACACCCCTGAAATGTAGGTAGGTAGATATCCTTATTTTGCAGATAGGAAACTGATTCAAAGAATGGTTAAGTGACTCAAAGGAAGATATGCACAGAAAGAAGAGAGAGTTTGGATCAGAGTTCAGAAGTTCTTTGCTCCCGGTCTTGTTTGCAGTCCATTATATTGCTCTGCCTCTCAACACCTAGATTTTATTAATAACTTGAGATATTACAAGACAGAGAGAGAGAGGCGATATACATTGAGCTATATATGGAAAATGTAATTTTTCTTGCTTTATTCTTAATACATATTTGCAAGAAGTAGTGCCTATGCCCCCTAAATCTGGACACATAGGAGACCCTCTGTGCACAGATCTCACCTCTCCTAATTAGAGAGGTGTCAGTTGCCTGTGCTGCACCATCCTCCAGGCATTGTGAAGGGACTCTCCCCAGGATTGGAATCTGCCTAGAAGAGAGAGGGCAGGGACTGGGCAGTTAGTAGGTGGTGCATGTTGAGTGAGGACTAAGCCTTGAAAATATAATACATTTCTGTGGTGTCCTCCATAATGGGGAAATGCCCTTGAAGAGGGATACTGGGGGAAGCAATGGCTAGGAGGGGCCCTTGCTCATGTGGATCCTCCAGTGCAGCTGTGCTGATTGGCAGAGAGAGTAGGATGTTCTGGAGATACAGTTCGCATAAAGGACACAGGTGCTCCACATAGACAGCATCCCAGGGGGCTCTATGGAGTATGGGGCAGAACCATGGCTCATTCTATTGGAATGGGAGGGCCCAATCTGAATAACAATGTGGGAGAAACCCAATGAGGGGAAACATTTGGCTTTTTCCTCCCATGGGCAATCTGGCCCACAGCCCTACAGATGTGGTACAGTATAGTTCAGTTAAAGTACATAGGTAAAACTCCACAGAAAATCAAGTCCCCATTCCAAAAGGCTTGCAGTCTAAATGTAAATAGATGTTAGGATGCATTTAGTGAAATGAAAAGAAAACCAGTTTGTACTGAATACTTCGGTGACATGTTCAAGAGCAGAGACCCTGATGTCAATTCACATTTTAATGATGACTACAGTGTGCAATACAGGTATGGGGCATTTAAAATATTATAGACCGATTAAAGAGAGGCCCATAAAGGTAGTCACATAGAGACATATATGAAAAGAAACACATAATCAAATGAAACAGAGGAACACAGATCTAATTTATGGTGAAATAAAGCTGGTTAGCACTGAGAAATCTGACATGCCAGCATATATTGGGTGGGTCAGTGTTCACTTATTCAGAGTTTAAGCACAGAAACATATCCTAATGAGAAGCAATGCATACCTTTGTCACAGATACAGGTGATACACATGTCTGGCCACCAGCAGTGAAGTTGCAGAAAACCTCAATGGCATCAGAAGGACATCCAATATTTGGGTCAATCCAGTATTTTCCTATCAATTTATAATCCCAGATAAAAGGTAAAAAAAGATATAACTGCTGTTAAACAATTTTCTGAATAAAATTTCCATAATTTTTGGCAGATGTTAGAAGTATTATTACTGCAGCTTGACCTCCTATGGCATCCCTAAAGAACATAACCGGCTAGCCTCATTGGAATTACTCTGGGTTTATGCCCAATGTAGGTGATCTGAATTTAGCACCAAATATTTGATGTTAAGCTAAAGCAAAGCCAAAAAAACCCCCAAAACCCACAAAGCCTCCACATTACTGTCATGTCATCAATAACTATATTCCCTGCTGTTTACCTTTTCTATGGCTTTTGTACCAGTTTGGGATTTTCAACTCTATCCTTTGTTTCCAATACTAAATACTGAGTGTGAGCAGATGGTCTGCTCCCAGCAAAATCTATGCATGCTATAGGTGGTCAGACATACTCCTCTTCCTGGGATTTGGCTTTATTCAAATAATACCAAAACATGAACATAAGCCTAAGTTCTCATCCCAAGCCTGGCTAGTTCCTCCATGTCCCTGTCCTCAGTTTCCTCTGACCAGAGGTTCATTGGCAGCTCTCACATCTTGGTGGAGTTATTAAGCAGAACCTGCCATCATGAATTGGTACAAGTTATTCTGCAGCTTTATGCAGGGCTCTAACAGGGTGGTCAGCAGAAGAGCCCAGCGTTCCTATGCTGGATCATAGCTCCTGCCACCCTGTTACTCTGACAAAGTCATAATCACTGCCTCTGAGCACAGCTAAACTATATTTGATGTACGGCACGGCTCATCTGTATTTATGATCTGGGTTCTGTTTAATCCCCTCTCTCTTGATTGTTTGAGTTTATTTAAGTATGTTTTCCATCTAGAGGGATACAACAGGGGGTTTGGATACATGGCAGACATTGTAACTAATCTCAAAGTAAAATACAGTTTGAAAAATGTACCGAAAGGCCTGTGCCAACAGAGAAAAGAAAAAAATTAAGCTTTGGAATTACAAGAAAGATGTCTTAAGTTTTACATTTATATTAACAGTTACACAGTTAGAACTGGTACACTCTTATCCACTCTAGATTCTAGAGCACATTTCCTTGATGGAACTAATGTTCATTCTATAAATAATACTGACTATTCAGCAGCTAGGAGATGTAAATTAGGCTCTTAACACTGAGTCCTCTTCTCCACATACAGTAGCTAGAGATTTGTTTCAAAATTAATTCTGAGAGGAAATCCTTTTTCTATAGTTAGGGTAATAGACGCTCATCAATTTCTGTGAACAGGAAATTAGTACAAGTGCCAGATCATAAAATAACAAATTGTTTGTTTGCACATAAGGCCTGGAGTGCACAAAATGCTTTTATTTTCCCTATCTTCATTTCACTTTTGCTGATAAGATCACAGGTGACTCTCTCTATAATGTGTATGTGTAATGTGCTTAAAGATGTTGGTTAGTGTTTGCTTTCATACTTGGGATAGAACATTAATGCCAATTATTTGTTTGTTATCCTGGTGCAACTCCCAATAAAGTCAGTGAGAGAAGAAATAGTGCAAGTGACAAGTCTAAAATAAAACAGAATTTAGTTCCATGTTTCCTAAGCGGCAGTTAAAGATGGACTAGACTGTGCCCCAGAATCGACAAATGGTGGTTCCTTTGTGCAAATCTCCCCCAGCCTGCACGGAAGACGAGGTCAGTCACTCTTGCAGCATTCTCCCCACCCCCATTCCTAGGACCATATGGTGGGTTCTCCTTGTGGTTGGGATCCATGCAGGAGAGTGCAATGGGAATGGGTGGCTTCCAGTGAGGGCTGAGCACATCCTTTCTTTACCAGTGCTTTAAGTACTGAGATTACGTAGACAAGATAATATAACCTGGGGTTCTATTATCTTTTGTGTGGTGCCCCTTCTGTAACAGAAACCCCTCTTTCAAAGGGCGGTCCTGGGGGCAATTGGACCTCTGATCGTGCAGTTCCACTGGGAATGCACTAGCAAGAACTGAGAAGGCAAGATGAAATGACACCTGGGTTCTAGAGCCTGAGAGAATAGCTCTGGCTTCATGTGGATCCTGGAGGACCCATGGAGTTTGGAGTCTAACCCACAGAGGGCATGGTGAGGGGGCAAACCCCCATGATGGAACAACTTTGTTTAGGAAACCTCATTGAATTTTACTCTCCCTTAGCCTCTTGCGGCTTTTTACTACATGAGGGATGTTCCTATCCTTTGCTTTTACCATGCTACTATGACACAGACAATGAGATTTTAATCCTCAACTCTTTGGGATTTGGCTACTTAACTCCCTTAGGCTCCTTGGAAGAGTCTTGTTTTACATGAGTTTTCTAAACATGTTTATGCATGTTTAAATCATTACAGTATGTGAAAGCCAATGCATACATTTATGGTGAAAATGAATACTTTTGCTACATACAGACAAACCCTACCACCACAGGTAAGTACAGCTCCATTGCAGGGTAAGGGGTGGAGGGCTAGGTTCCTGCTGTCTGCACACCCTGCAACTTAATGCACAGGGCAGTGTCAGAAATGGGGCAAGGGCTGATGATTCACCAGTTGTTTCCCCTTCCCTCATGTGCAAAGGGGGTGTAGGAGCTATTGTCTGCAGTGGTCTCAGAGTTGTTCCATTGCTGCTCCACAATTTTCAGAAGGGAGATACCTTCCTTCTTGACCTCTGCAGCTATCCACAGTGCACAGTCTGGTTACTCAGGGCCAGGACTTGGCCCACAGAAAATAGTCTACATATAGGAAGAAAATTCTCTCATGATTGGCTAATAACAATCAGGTATAAGTCAGTAAGTTGACTCTGACAAAGACTGACTCTGGACAATTTTACCCATTTAGATGGCATACAGATTCATAGATACCAAGGTCAGAAGGGACCATTATGATCATCTAGTCCAACCTCCTGCACAACGCAGGCCACAGAACCTCACCCACCCACTCCTGTGAAAAACCTCTCACCTATGTCTGAGCTATTGAAGTCCTCAAATCATGGTTTAAAGACTTCAAGGAGCAGAGAATCCTCCAGCAAGTGACCCGTGCCCCATGCTACAGAGGAAGACGAAAAACCTCCAGGGCCTCTTCCAATCTGCCCTGGAGGAAAATTCCTTCCTGACCCCAGATATGGCAATCAGCTAAACCCTGAGCATATGGGCAAGATTCACCAGCCAAATACCCAGGAAAGAATTTTCTGTATTAGTTTCTGGGTAGGGCCCAGAAGTATCATATCTGATACAGAATGTTCAGAGAATGCTTCAGCAAATTAATCCTTCCTGTTTAAACTCTTCAGGGATGTAAAGACTCCAAAAAACATTACAACAGTATCTGGAATGTATTTTAGAGCGGGTTACTTTGTCAATGTGAAACCAGAAATAGTTCTGAATACTTTTACATTTCCCATTTATTTAAGCTCAAACACCTTCTGCAGAGCCAATGAAATCCTACAGTTGCTATCTATAAGTCTGGTGAAGGAAGAATACAGAAAAGCTTAAGGAATGTTTAGGGACTTGATAAGTCTGGCTTCTTACATGCTGTTTAGCTCATCAGAGGGCACAACAATAATTCCCCTTAAAATTTACATAAGGTTACATTTTAAAATAAGTACTTTGTCCCCATTACCTCTAAATACATTTCCTTTTTGCGTATTTGCTTTTATTTTAACAATTGTTACCTCTTAGAAATTCCTGATGCTAATGGAAAGATTTGCAGATATTTATAATGAACACACTCAGACAGTGAAGTATGTGAAATACTTCTATTGATGTCACATTTCAATGACCAGTCAAGATTTATTGATTAATGGTTGCCTCAAATAGAATAGTTGTCAATATATCTGATTATACACATTTTTTATTATAACAATATAGACCTTTACCCACACAAAGTTCGTTGCAGGATCAGATATTTGAGAAATTATTTCTATAACAAAGCTAGATTTAAAAGATGTGAAAATGTAACTAAATATTAGAAAAAATAGATTTTCAGCATGTTTTTTATTTACTCTATATCTGAAGTACTTTAGTGTTAAAATAAAAATATAATTATACATATCTATACAATATGGCCTGCTTTCACCATATTTGAACATAATACAGGACATTCCAAAGCACTGTCTAGTAGCCTGTTATTTACTCTATTCTTATGCTACGTAATGACTGGGCTCAATCCTTTCCCCTTTGAAGATACAATTGGCTTCAGTGGGAGCAGGATCAAATCCATACTGTCAGGAAACTGTGATAATTACAGAACTCAGATTCTGCACATTGAGTCAGATGATGCCAGTGGCTCAGATTCTGCAAATACTTGCATACATGAGTAACTTTATACATGTGAAAAGAAAAGGAGTACTTGTGGCACCTTAGAGACTAACCAATTTATTTGAGCATAAGCTTTCGTGAGCTACAGCTCACTTCATCGGATGCATCGGATATATCGGATGCATAGAGATGGTTAGTCTCTAAGGTGCCACAAGTACTCCTTTTCTTTTTGCGAATACAGACTAACACGGCTGTTACTCTGAAACCTGTCTTTATACATGTGAGTAGTTCAATGGGACAAGTTCACGTGTATAAAATTATTAAAACATGTAAGAGCTTCCAGGAGTGGGCACTTCAGTCAGTCATGTCAATATGCCCGGTTTCGTCAAGCTGCAGTCTGAGGGTGTTGGTATGAGCAGTGAACACTAAATATGCTAACATCAGAAGACATACCTTACATATACAATACATTCATATCAACTTAGTGCAAAATGCATATAGATTTGTGCCAGTTTGAGCAGTGATGGCCATGAGCACTTCTGTAGAAGTTTAAGCAATTTTGAATATGGTGTTAGGAGCCAGTGATCCAGTGTTAGAGCAAATATTTTAAATACCTAAGTACCAATTACCTCCAAAAATTATTTTTGAAAAATAAATCTATAACCTACTGTAAACATGTAAACAATATGAAGATATTGTGATAGGTGCTGCAGAAATACTATGGTAGCTAGATTAAGGCAGGGCTTTTCAAAGGGTCATAAAGGTACTAGATGCTCAACTTCCAATGAAAAAAGAAAAGGAGTACTTGTGGCACCTTAGAGACTAACAAATTTATTTGAACATAAGCTTTTTGTTGAAGAATTGCCACCAGAAGCAAATACTCACCAGCAACCACACACCACACAACAGAACCACTAACCCAGGAACTTATCCTTGCAACAAAGCCCGTTGCCAACTGTGTCCGCATATCTATTCAGGGGACACCATCATAGGGCCTAATCACATCAACCACACTATCAGAGGCTCATTCACCTGCACATCTACCAATGTGATATATGCCATCATGTGCCAGCAATGCCCCTCTGCCATGTACATTGGCCAAACGGGACAGTCTCTACGTAAAAGAATAAATGGACACAAATCAGACGTCAAGAATGATAACATTCAAAAACCAGTCGGAGAACACTTCAATTTCTTTGGTCACTTGATTACAGACCTAAAAGTGGCAATTCTTCAACAAAAAAACTTCAAAAACAGACTCCAACGAGAGACTGCTGAATTGGAATTAATTTGCAAACTGGATACAATTAACTTAGGCTTGAATAGAGACTGGGAGTGGACGGGTCATTACACAAAGTAAAACTATTTCCCCATGTTTATTCTCCCCACCCCCCACTGTTCCTCAGACGTTCTTGTCAACTGCTGGAAATGGCCCACCTTGATTATCACTACAAAAGGTTAAAGCTCTCCTGCTGGTAATAGCTCACCTTACCTGATCACTCTCGTTACAGTGTGTATGGTAACACCCATGGTTTCATGTTCTCTGTATATATAAATCTCCCCACTGTATTTTCCACTGAATTTATCCGATGAAGTGAGCTGTAGCTCACAAAAGCTTATTTGTTCGTCTCTAAGGTGCCACAAGTACTCCTTTTCTTTTTTGCGGATACAGACTAACATGGCTGCTACTCTGAAATCTTCCAGTTTCAGTGTACGCAAACCCACAATGTCGAATGAAAAAGGTAAACTTAGAAGTCTGGGTGTGGGCAGTAAGAAGTCTCTAAGCCTGATTTTCATCAGTCTATATCAATTGACTTCAGCTGAGTTACCCTTGGTTTACACCAGCATGATCAGAGTATCATATCCTCTGTACTGAGAAAATGCAGGTTTGAGATTGTTTTAAAGCTGCTGCCACTCACAAGAAATTCAGCACTGAGTATTGGCAGGTTGGAATAGCCTAGAAGAAGCAGCAGTTATTTTTTCACCATCCACAGAGAGCAGAAGCAGCTTTGGGGATAAAATGACAGGTAAGTCCATTATGGATAGGTGTGTGGTACTCAGTAGTTATATGGAATTAACAAGTTAAAATTAATACGGTTATTAAAATGCCACCCATTACGGTTTTGCTCTAGAAATTAAAAGTTGGAAACAAGATATTCTAAATCCTGATGGTATATATGATTTGATGAAAGTAGACACTTACCATCTGATACTTTACGTTCACAGTTAAGCAAATCCCTGCAGATGCGTGCTGGGTTATCTCGAGTGCCGAGGGGGTTCTTGATACTGTGCAGTAAATTGCTAAGGTAGTGTAGCGTTTTGAATATCTCTGCACTGTGATCTAGTAAATTTACTTCAGTATTCTGGTACCTCTGCCGTTAGCAATAATGTTATCACAAAAACGCCATAGCAGCAGTGCATGCAGTTAAATCAAATGCCCATTGGAGACCACATGCAGAAATGAAAGGTGTTTATGATGCATGCAGCCGGCCACATATGAGATAATAGAAATGATTTATTCAAATTAAAAATAATTAGTACATTTTATTAAAATCATTGGAGAAAAGGTGTTACAGTCAGGTTAAAAATTGTTATAAACATTGTTATAATACATGGAAATGGAAATTTGAATACACAAAAAAGAAAAAAAAAGAAAGAAATTAGTTCATTTTATAAGCGATACCTTACACTGTCAGATTTTGAACAACAGAGTTAATAGTCTTAGGTCCCAATCTAAAGACACATACAAATGTGCTTAACTTTACACATGTGCGGAGTCCCATTGATGCAACGACTCTACTCACATGCATGAAGTTAAGCGTGTGTAAGTGACTGATGGATCAAGGCCTTAATGACAGTCTCATTTGTAGACATCTAGCTGAATGTATACACTTCACATTGTATAATGGATTGATACTTTCCATCCTCTTTAATCATATTTAAACATTAGAAATACTGTGGTTTTTAAAACTTGACTTAAATTGCATACTATATATCCAATTGTGTTTAATCATATTATACATGGCTTAGTTTTTCCTCACAAAACAGTTTCTAGTTTTTCTCTGTTTTCAATAAAGCCTTTGTGAAGAAGCCATGTTTTGGCCTTAAAAAACCCAACTCTTTATACATTTTCTAATGTATGTGCCAATGTAAATAAAGGAAGATATATTACCTCCATCTGTAGTGCACCATTTGATTCAATCAACGCTTGAATAGCAGCATTGATGTCCATTTGTTTCTGTGTAAACCAAAACCATTGAAGATCAGCAGTAAGATTAACAGAGAATAAAATTAAGGTTGTAAGTTCTTCAAGTATTGCTGCAGAAATATACCAGTTATATCTGATGAAGAATTTGAAAGTCTCTTGATTAAAACATATTGCACATAAATGTGTATGTATCAAAAAGGACAAAAAAGCCCAACTTCCCCAAAACCTCTGAGGCCTTCTAATTGTTTAGCTGAATGCTCCACATCCATTAAATTACAAACTATGAATTTTTACTTTTAAAAAGAAAAAACAAACGGATGAAATGGGATACTCTTATTTTAAAGAATTGTAATTTTAAAAAATAAATTAATTACTTTAGTTTATTTTATCAGTTATTTTCCTGGAAAAAAAATAAAACAAACAAAACAAAAAATCCCCAGCCCAAACTACTGGCTCCAAACCTGTCTGCCATCCATCTAATCTAAAACATCAACAGTTACAAATACTATTTATAGATGGAGAAAAAGGTGATATTTACTCTCCAAACAAGATACACAAAAAACAATTCAGTCTCTAGTCATGCACATACAACATGGGCCAGATTCCCTGGTCCCTTTGCACTACTCTAGTGGTGAAATGTGCTATATCTTGCCAGCTGAGAAGTCCTTTGATGTGATGGAGTCCTTGGCTGGCATCCAACTAGTTCAGCTGCCTCCTATACCACAGGCCACCCTAGCCCTACTGTAGGGGGAATGCCAGAGTGGGAGGGGGTGCAGCATCTGTCATGCCATGACCTGACTCAGGAGGGTGGCCCAGGAAGGGGGCTGCCCAATAGAGCAGAAATAATAGAAAAGGACTAGAACACTAAATCCATCCTCCCAGTAAATGCTGGATTATAATCCCCTAGAAGAAAACGGATACATTTGATGTGTATGCATCTGGTGAATGACATACCACGGAGCATCCTACTTCCCTTCAGAATTTGTATATGCTGAATTCCTACATGTAAGCTTTAAAACTGGACTGAAGTTTACGTAGGCCAAGCGTGTGAGCATGGGCATGTGATTTTCCCTTTTAGGACTCTGCAACATGGTAGCACTACTAGAACAGAAGATGTCAGACAGGAGGTTTAGCATAGCAACTATATCTGAGCTTAGATATTATAGTGATGAGTGCTAAGGAAAACACATTTGAATTTCACTTGAGATGATGGAGGAAGCAATACCCTATGAAGAGGGTCTCAACATTTTCACTTTCAACAATGAGGAAATGAGTTGCAGTGAGCACAATTATGAAACTTACTCTTGGACCAGGTACCCCAGGTGGACCCTAGAAAACAAGAGAAAGCAGTTATTAGGTATTGCAGGCTTCTTTAAATCACACATGCAAGGAGAACCTAGATAAAAATAGCTCTTTATACACTTACCGGTGGACCTGGATGACCCCGTGGTCCCTGAGGGCCCTAGGAGAAAGGAAGATAAAATGCATTAGGGTTAAAAAAAATCCTTCTACTTTTGAATTTTTTTTTTTTAAATCAGAAAATGCCATAATGAAGTGTAGTCAGCTGTGATCTGCACAAAGATTTCTTGGTAGAGCTGTAGACCATTTGTCTCCACTTCTGAATGTACTGCATTGTGCATTTTAAAAAACTAAGTGTTGTTCTTATGAAAGGTGCCAGACTGACAGTGCTGGATATAAAAACAACCCTCTGTTTTTCTGATCACACTTGATATTAAGAGTACATTTATAAATAGTGTGCAGAGGGTTAATAAATATTTAATAGATCTTATAAGCATGTCACACATGAGTAGTGTGTGTTATGGATAGCTATAAGCACATTAGCACAAAGTGTTATAGATGGTTATAAAGAGTTTCTTGACTTACTGAACTCTAATAGTTGATCAACCTTTTACTAAATGATATATTAATAAATTATTAGCCCTTAATAAACTATTTATAAAAGTACACTTAATACAAAGTATGACATTTGATTCAGGACATGGAACACTTACATCATGGGCCCTGACATTGCAAACTTCTCTCCTTCTAATGCAAGCAACATGTCACCACCATTGCTGACCATAGAGGAACTTCATTTAATGGTGGAATTAAGCAGCAAGAAGGGAGGAGGAACCAATTACAGTCACAGGGGCCTTGCAGGGCATAATGTGTACAACACACACAAAAGGTTAACACAAGTAGAAAAGGAAAGAGAAAAGTCTACACCTCGGGTGTAGACCCCATAAAAATCACATCCCTAATCAACACTGTTATACCAGCAAAAGTTTCTAGTGTAGACCTGGCCAAAACCCTCATCCTAGTAGTAAACCATTTCATCTGTTTCTTTCAGTTCTCTAACCAATACACCAACAAGTAGTATGTCATCCAAGAGACTTCAAAAGAAACATCTGCATAAGCACCACTGTGCAGAACAACTGTGAGCATGATCCTCCATCTCAAACTGCCAACCAAGTCAATGGGAGTTTGGGATGTTTGGAGCATGCAGGGTTGTGTCCCATGCTAGTCCACATACATTTAAATGGGAGGATGCCAGATAAGATCATATAAAAGAGACACATTTGGGTAACCGAGACTTTTCAGATCTATCGATCTCTAGAAGCACATTGGTCACACTCTTTAGCCCATATGATGTAAAATTCATGGGACAGAACACATGGTAGCTATGTGAGAGCGCATTTTGATTTCCAATGGGAGCTGTTACAATCACCTTGATTCAATCTCCATAGCCCAAATCTGTATTTTGTGAGTGCTGCTGTTCTATAAACAGCTGTATAGTAATTATGGAGAGGAGTTAAAACTGAGGACATTTCTTTATGTTTAAGTTTAGCCTTTGCTGATTTTTACTGTGAAGGCATTAAGGGTTGAATCAGTTTGGATATTTAATTTTGTCAGCTTTTCAACCATCACCTACTGTCACTGGATCCTACTTACCTGGTTTCACCCAGTGTATGCATATTCAAGACTATAAGCCACCACCTCTATCTCGCAGACCAACATCTACTGTAGTTTTACCGAGGCACCATTGATTAGTGGTTAATGTAGGGGAACAGTAATATAACCTAAAACTTCTGATTCCTAACTGTGCCACTAACTCTGTGTGATTTTGGCAGGTCACATAACCTCACTCTGCCTCACTTAATCCATCTACAGCTTATAATACTTACTGACCTTTAAATAATTGTTATTATAATATTGATGAGAAATGATGTTGGCAAAATCTTCCTATGACTACTTTGGGTCAGATTCTCAGCTGGTGTAAGTCAAGTGAGTTCAACAGTGCTATGCCAGTTTATGCCAGCTGAAAATTTTGCATTTAATTAACCAAATCAGTAGCACATTTGTTGTCAATATGTCTCAAGGATCCTTCAAACCAATGTGTGTATATTGCGGTATTCTTTGATCATGCTTAGCGAAGTGCATTTGATATCCTTATTGGTAGAAAAAGAAAGGGAAAGGGTGAAAAGAAACAAAAAGAATGATTTCCACAGTGTAAGGAGATATTTGTGTATCTTCGTTCAGGACTAGCTTACACAATGGCCAAGTTACATCAAGATGTGAAGGCTTCAATGATCTATACTGCTCCTATGTAAACACTTATTTCTGGTGAATAGATGTCTTTGTTCTGTGTACAGTGATTCAAAACTTTCACTGGATTTCTCTTATAGCTGAACAAGTCTATATTTTTGGTGTATGCACCACAACTGTATGTCTGTGGAACTATTTTAAGACACTTGAGATTTATAGAGAGGGATTTTATTGACAGTTGTATTGTTCTGATGAATTTAAACTGTTCTAAAAGGAGGTGATGTGACTCAGTCTGCCTTGATCCAGTATCTCCTGACCTTGCTAATCAAATCCCATATGAAAAGGTAAATTGGCAGTCAACTGCTACCTGGGGAAAACCCCCTCAGGCATATTACATTTCTTAAACGTTTTAAAACTTCAAGGATCTACATCAATTACTTTTACAAGTCTTTTAAACATAACAAAATTTCAAATAGTATGTTGGAAATTCTGTAGAAACATTATAAATGCTCCTTTCTGCCACAGAGCTGCAGTAGAAGGTTAAATTGCACATTTTATGAATTAAGTTAATAGCAGAATATTCCCCTGGAATGTACAGGATTAGCTTTATGAATCTACTTAAATGCTAATGTGATCAAAGGATAAGTAAAGGAGTGAGAAAAGTATAATTCCAGTTCCTTAATACCAAAACCAAAGAATAAAATGAATTATTTTTAGTGTGTTCTTTAATCCTTTCAAGCCCTTAATTTGACAGCTAGCACAAAAGGTCAAAGGCCCAAACTCCATTCTTTTCTCTTTGGTACTTCAAAATTCTGATCCTACAAACATTTATGCGTGTGCTTAACTTTAAGCATGAGCAATCAGGGACTTCAATAGCGCTACTTACATGTTTACAGTTAAGTATGTACATAAGTGTTCGCAGGATCAGGACCGTAAACCCAGTTGGCCTGATTTTCAGAGGCGCTGAGCACTCATAACTCCTGTTTGATTTAAAGAGAGTTGTGGGTGCCCAGCCTCTATGAAAATCAGGACACCTGGTGTTGATCATTGTCTTACACAACCTTTATACCAGTGTAACAATGCTGACTGGAGTGGAATTCTTCCTGAGTTACACTGGCGTAAGTGAGAAGAATCACCCTTTACATGTTTTTATGTCCCATTTTATTGAAGACAATATGATGATAGGAAGGGCTAATAATGTGATCCTTGGATGCATAAATGGGAATCTCAAGTAGGAGCAGAGAGGTTATATTACCTCTGTGTTTGGCCTGATGAGACTGCTGCTGTGTCCAGTTCTGGTGCCAACAATTCAGGAAAGATGTTCATGCCTTGATAGACTCAAGGAGTTTAATCTATTTAGCTTAACAAAGAGAAGGTCATGGGGTGACTTGATTACAGTCTATTAGTACCTACATGGAGAAAAATATTTACTAATGGGCTCTTCAGTCGAGCAGACAAAGGTATATTTAACAAGATCCAATGGCTGGCAGTTGAAGCTAGATAAATTCAGACTGGAAATAGATTGTAAATTTTTAACAGTGAGGAGAAAGTAAATAAGGAAGTGTTATTTACTCCTTCTCATGACATAAGAACTAGGATGAAATGAAATGAAATGAAATCAAATGAAATAGACAGCAAGTTCAAAACAAACAAAAGGAAGTATTTCTTCACACAATGCACAGTCAACCTGTGGAACGCTTTGCCAGAGGATGTTGTGAAGGCCAAGACTGTAACAGGGTTCAAAAAAGAACTAGATAAATTCATGGAGGATAGGTCCATCAATGGCTATTAGCCAGGATGGGCAGGGATGGTGTCCCTAGCCTCTGTTTGCCAGAAGCTGGGAATGGGCAACAGGGGATGGATCACTTGATGCTTACCTGTTCCGTTCGTTCCCTCTGGGGCACCTGGCATTGGCTACTGTCAGAAGACAGGATATTGGGCTAGATGGACCTTTGAAACTCAGTTGTGAATGTTTGCAAGGGGTAAGAATCCCTTCATTTGACAAGAAAATGTCTGCTGCAAATACAAGAGTAGGGTTCAGTCCAGCAAAGTGTATCTGCAACTTCAAGCCAGGGTCCCTATTTAGATACAAGTTGGCCTGCTGTTGAAGGCTAAAAAGCAAAAAATTATGAGCCAAATCCTCAGCTGCTGTAGATGGATATAGTTCTATTGACGCTGATGGAGCTTCACCAGCTTACATTAGCTGAAGACCTGGCCCAGCATATGAAACCAGTTTCTGAGTTAGCTGGGGAAAGGAGAAAATAGTTAGGGCAGGTTGTGACTTTGCACTCAATATGATTTTATAAAAATATGCTAATAAGTGTGAATATAATGTAACTGGAATATGCTTCATGCAAAAGGTCTCTTGTAAGGTATTATTACAAAGCTTATAATCTACTGAGTGTGGTCATCCTATTTGTATAAATGTATCTCTCTTGTATCTGAAACTAGAAATATGAAATATAACTCTGAGGTCCTATTGTAGTTATGCAAAGTGTGGGCCATTAATGGTGGTTTGGAATCTTAATGGCTCCCATTAACCAGGACAATTGACTGTAGATGGCTCTGTTTTACTTTAAGTCTTCCTGTATACCTGTGGGCTGGCAAGGGGATAATGAAGTCTTGCGTTGACATGTGATCATGTCATCTGAACTGGAATCCATCTTTAACCTGGTACTTTTCCATTGAGAAGGAGGGGTGGGAACCCAGAGGGACAAAGGATTCCCGCCTTATGCAAAAGATAAATAAGTGGGTGGAACAGAACAAAGTAGGGGGCAATCATGAGAAATCCCCTAGCTACCACCTGAGCTGGAACAAGGGCTGTACCAGGGGAAAGGACTGTGCCCAGACTAGGAAGGCGTCCAGTCTGTGATAGAAGCTTATTGAAACATCTGAGGATGAGGTTTTATCTGTATT